GCGTGGAAGGGGATGTGGGAACACCTGGGGACGTTTTCGGAAGCGCTGGCATGCCCAAGGGTGGACCTACGAGAGGGGGACCCGGAGGATGAGGTTGGCTTCATGGGACGGAAGCCGGCCTGCAGTGCTATGGAGTGCACGCTCTGTGGGTTTGGGAAGGAAGGGGGCATCCCGACCNCTCGCAGGACTCGAGCACACTTTTGAAAGCGGTCGCTGGTGGAGCCACCATCCGATTAGGCGGCAGATGGTCGATGGCGTCTCGCAGCATGGCGGCATCCTTCTGGGAACAGATGATGCCCGAAAAGTACTTCGCCACGTCCAAAAGCGAGGAGCGCGAGTTGCACTTATCCTTGATGAGGGCGTTTTGGCCTGTTGTGTGTCCGGCGGACAAACACGCAAGAAGCGACACACAAACCAAACCGTGGCTTAGTGATTGGTGTCATCAGACATCGTCGAAGTCGCAGGACGCCGAACGACTGCAAGAGAAGCCTATGACTTGACGCACCCATCGCCACAGATGTATGTACACGTGAGCTGGACGATCGCAGTGCATTGACCAAGTATATCAATCCCGAACAACAGCGGCCGGACAACAGTCACACGTTTCGAAGAGGTCGTAAACATTAGCGGCATGTAGGGAGTTGTTTACTGGTCATTGACTGACGGCGTACGATAAGTTCGTCAAGAAGCACTCATCAGTGGCATAGTAAAAAGGGGGCAAGGAAGATAGCCGCCCCCAACCCCTGCAGACGTAGACAAACTCCCAAAAACAACGACAACGCTACATGCGCTGTCGTTCTCCAACAAAACGCTCATGACAGATGATGCATAAACGCACCTTCAACTCTTGATGTCGTCCACGAACCCACGGAGAACACCAGGGGCGACACATATTCCGCCCACCGTGCGCGGTCGTCATATACCACTCGCATGTACCTCTCCGCCTTCGGGTACTTTTCGAGGAGGGCGTTGAACTTCCCTTCAAACTTCGCCAATGACAGCTGCTGACGCACACACCTGAACTCGTCCATGAAAGGCTGCGGAAAACACAAACGACGTAGGCCGGGTGGGTGTTGCGTGAGTTGGGACCTCGGCGATGAGCTACCGGTCTGTACGATTGACTGCCCCCAACAACCCCCGTACATTTCGTTAGCGCTAAGGCGAGACGAGGAGAGGGTTGAAAAAACTCAGCGACATATCATTGGTGAAAACAACCTGCTGCTGCTGCTGCTGCTGCCGCTGCTGCCGCTTTTCCTGTGTGCACTGGACGTCGTGAGGTATGTTTCCGTCGAAGCCGAGGTCGTCTCCGCATCACGGTCTACGCAGATACGCTGGATATCACCCTTCCGAGTAGACGACAACGCCACTCATCCATGACAACGCACCAACTTGCACGGGGGATTCAAGCGGGAGTGGGGGAGGGGGAGCGTACGTCGCGCGACCAGGACAATACGAGAGGCCAGACTAACCACGCCAACACACACAGTAGAGCGCACCTTCATCTCCCCACCAAGGACTTTAGCGAGGGCCTTGATGATGTTCTGGTTGAGGTGCCATAAACAGCGCCTCGCCAGCGCGTCCGGGAACACCTCGCGCACCGCCGCCGTCATCGCCGCATCCGCGTCCTGGATGAAGATATCCGGCTGCTTCCCCCCCGCGAGACTCCAACGCACTCTTCAACATCCACAGGAAAGTGTCCGTTGTGGTGTCCGCCGTTATGCTTTGGCCGACGATCCGCGTCCGATACTCTGAATCGATGAAAGCGAGCACACCGAGGGGCATCCGGTATCTGTTCTTGACGGCGGTGTCGTCGTAGAGCGCAACGTGACCGTACCGATTCCAAAGCGCCACCTGCTTATTCGGAGCATGACGTCGAAGGGGGTCGAAAGCACTTAATTGTAGGTGTGACGTGTGTTGGACGCGTCACAACGCACCCTCACCCTTGCCTACGGCCTGCTTTCGGTCAGACGTCCTACATTTGCGGACGGCCAAGCTGTACGTGCGAGATGCTAAAATGACAGCACACCTTCCGGCTGGGGAATATTCGTATGGGGCACAACGACGGGCGGCCTACCTGCTCTCTCGTTTGCCACCAGATGTGCGTCAAGCGGCCGCTGTCATCCATCTTTATCTCGCACACTCCGCCGTCGGCCGTCGCGGCCAAGACCTGAAATTGCAACATGTTAAGCGCCCGGAAACATCGAGGGGATCAGCGCAAAGCCACGACGACGGCACGCCACAATTTTTTTACCGCCAACATTTCTTGGTTTGGTGTTATGGGGCATGTATTATCCCGGTTGTCACCTGCGATCGTGTGTGTCTCGTCGCCCGGTTACCGCCTTGAGCAAAACCCAACATCCCACACACAAACAAGAGAGGCAACAGTCTCAACGGACACATAGACACACCTCTTCGCACGCATCGGCGGCATCTCTCGGCTTCTCCGCCCCGTGCGCACAGTGGCAGCCGCGTTCTGCACCGCGCGCTTGTTGATGTCGATGTCGCCGTCCTCGTGCAACGCCTTCATTGCTTTTGTCACCTCTTTTGGCTTCATCCCATGACCTGCGCCGTACGGGAGAGCCGGGAGCACAAAAATAAGTGGCGTGTCACCGACAAACAGGGTAACAACGTGGAGGCGACAGCAGTACCACGCTTCACGGGCCGTTCGTCATGCGGCATCATGACTACCAACCATGACAAACGTGGGATACGACGGGAGCTACTGTAGACCCACTCCTCGGCGTTCAATTTTCTCACTTGTCATCTGCTTCACTTGTCCCAGCTGCTCCTCCGTTAGTTTTGATGCGAGGCGAACCTGGACATCGATGGCGTTACGGTCGACGCTGTGGTTGTGCTTGAGCTTCATGTTGCTAATCTTGGGCCACCTGTGGGTCTTCGCGTGCCGGACGCTAACCTGAAATAACGGAACGGTGGGTCCACAACAAGGATAGAAGAGGGATAAGTAAACGATGGATACGTGGGATATGTGTGTGTAATGGATCACAAGATGGATCATGGATCACCAGACACCCGACCGACCCCTCCCAATTTCAAATACGCAGTTCGGACATCTTTTTCTCATGCTCGAAGACCTCAGACACCTGTTGGACCCTTTCTCCGTCCACTGCACCAAGACATGTTCCGCGGGAGACCAGCTACGTACCTCAAACGGACAACCAGTTCTCGCGCTTCCCTTTACGTTCCGCCGTAGTACCCCAGGTGCTGCAACACGCAACGACATGGGAGACGGAGGATAGGCGGGGTGTCATCGGCGGTGTGTCATCGGCGGTGTGTCATGCATTCCCCTGCACCGAAGCATGCATACTAACAACAGGCTTGCCCGCGACTCGCCCCATATTCGTCGCCTCAACCATTCTCCTAGTATGCCCAAGTGCCACCGATGAAACGCTTACCGGTGTCGAGACTGGTTTCGTACTCCGCTTGCCGGCTCTTCCCGCCTCGGGTACAAATCAGCTTCTTCATGTCCACACGATCCGTTGCGCCGTCGAGACACCTCGTCGATTTCGCGGTAGAAAGGATCGCCCCTTCACCGGCGCACAACCTCACCACCTCCTCCTCCACGTCTTCAAGCGTCTTTCCCTCCGTCTGCACTGCCTCCAGGTTCGCCTTTAACACAGCCGGAACGTACACCTAGTGTTCAAACCGCAATACCACGGGTGAGACAGCGGCACGTGCTTCGGGGTGAGGACAGCACAAAGCGGGATGTTAGAGCAACGAGCACAAAAATACCCGAACTGGATAACTGTACTACAACAGCACCGAGCAGGCGAATGCCGCGGGCAAAGTCACACAGAATGAACACTCTTGTAGGTACACCCAGACCAACACATGCATGGCGTCGTTGACCCATGCCATCGCAGCCTCCCCATCGTGCACGAGAGTGCAACAATACGGGCATTGTCACCTGCGTTTCCGGCGGAGGGCTGGTGGTCAATGTCTGCTGCTGTTGTTGCTGTACGGGGTGGGCTTGTACAGGGTAGCCCGCAAAAGCTCCCGCAGCGCCAGCATCACGAGCACCGTAAGAGGCCGGCAGAGCAGCACTGCATGGAAGCATTCCTAGCAATGACACCACCGCACGGCAGGCCACGGGTCCCACGACGCGAGCATGGAGGGTAGACACATGAAGTTAAGGGATTGGGCAAGTGCGTGCACATGCCAGCACCTCTACCAGCCCAGTATTGTAGCACCACCATACAGCCGAGCAGTCAGAAGAAAAGACTCCAGCTTACACGGCAAGGACAACAGGCAGGCCCGGCGCACAGCCGAGCAGCCAGAAGAAAAGACTCCGGATTACACGGCAAGAACAAACAGGCAAGGCCTGGCCTGATCACACCAGTACAGGCACATGATCACCAACGTACGTACGACGGCAACAACAGGTACAGAGCAACAGGTACAGAGCAGCATCGACAGCGTGGGACAGCATGAAGGGAGGCTGCAACACAAGAGACAGACCAACACACACATGGCGCTGGTGCGGGTGCGGCCGTTGCTATTTTATTTCTAGGAAAGACATCACAGAGAGGGTGAGGGTGAGGCACACAAACAGAGGACACGCAGAGGATGCACGGACGGCTGTCGGGACGGGATCTCACCAGTTATCGTTGTGTGTCGTCTCCTCGTCTTCCCCCAGTGTGCGGGTGCGTGTCGCCGCTTTCAGACGGCTCTCCGCCGGCGTGCCGTTGTGCTGCTTTTATAGGAGAGGGAGGAGAACCTCTTCGGGGACGCTCCGGGGCGGTTTCCCGGGGTTTCGATCCTTGTGGATGCTTGGACTGTGGTTCTCTTTTTTAATTCATGGATTGCAAATAGTCGCGTCCCCCAATAACTACGAGAGGCAAAAAGCAGGTTGTTTGTCTTGGTTAGGACAGTGGTGCGGACCAATACATCCGCTGACCCAAACAACAAAGGGGTGGATTGGACGTTTTCTTCAGCAGACGTAAAGGGAGGAGAGTCATCTGCTGGAGCCCTGCACACACGCCGCAGCAGCTCGCCTTGGCCGCTTTACTCTCTGGATGCTAGGATGGTGAATCGAATAGAGCGCCCGCGGTCAAGAGGCTGCGTATGTGAGTGGACCTGCGACCTACAGCAATACTTGGTATGTTGTACGGCGGCTGCTGTTTCTCTTTCCATTTCCTTCCGAGTTTTGTCTCGACGCCTCTCCTCCGCCGCGATGGCGGTTTGCGGCGAAACAAGTAGCTCAAGAAGACATGAAGACGGAGTGCTGCCCTTGCTGTTGTCGAAACACCTTCCCCGGTGCTTACCTTCCCCGGTGCTGTGATTGGCCAAACATCACGCTCAAGGCAACGGTTTGTTGTGAGAGATGTATAGAAGTATGCAGGTGCTTTGTAGGCAACCTGCAGGCATCGGGAATCTTCGGCAACATGGAGATATCTCACATGACAAGTGCCACGATTTATCAGCACCAGAAAGAGGAAGAGATTATGTACACCATTATCACAGCAGCGACAGGCGTGTCTCCTCTGCCCCTTTTTTGCCCTTCGACTGCTGGGTGACATGGGCTGTTCGCGAATCAAGCACACGGCATCATGATGAGCTATGCGTTCCACAGCGGCAACTCGGTGTCCCGTCGCATTTATTTGGTCGAAAATCCACCTCCTGCCTCCCTATTATGGCAACAAGAAGTAGAACAGAATCCCGGTTCGCAACGTAACTAAATGCACTTCAAGTATGTCACTAGTCTAATGTTCATTGCCGTCTATGGCCTGCCATCCTTTGGACTCCCGCCGCCATAGACAGAGATGTCTCGGTGTCGAGCTTTGCTGTTGAGTCCTCCTCGAGTATAGCAGTAAAAGCGGGTAGTCTTTCTGTGTGTGTATTTACTTTCTCAAGACCAGTAGTTGGACGGCTCGTTCCTCTCCATGAGATACACACCCATGCATACATGAACCAAAATATGTACCATTGCAAACGTCATTTTACACTTTCGGACAGGCAACATCAGTTTGCTTTCCACGCATGTTTATCGGTGCGTCGAACATACTTCGAACCAACCTGCTGACATCGTGTGCTGTAATGTGGGACTGGCGCTCAGAATGCCGAACATGCATACTGCTGTACGTGGTTCACTGCTGTATGTAGTAAATGTTGCGTCCAAATGCGTGACCGCTAGAGTAGCGGCGGGTATTAAAGGCCACCCGGGTATTAAAGGCCACTTTTTTTAAAGGGGGGTATATCCCCACAGAATCCACGGAGCCCCTTGGTTCTTTTTTTGAATTGCTCCGCGAAACCGTAGCTCTCGTTTGAGCACCACAGCGTGGCACGCCGAGCATTCCACCCCGAGATACAGCCGAGGGAGCCCCCACCGCTCCCGCTACTAGCCACCTTAGTCGTTTCCTTGGGATTTTTGCTAAGCATGACCCGGCGCAAGGTGGACGAGGAACAGGTTCGGAAGGCTTGTGCAGNATCTCCCCACAGAATCCACGGAGCCCCTTGGTTCTTTTTTTGAATTGCTCCGCGAAACCGTAGCTCTCGTTTGAGCACCACAGCGTGGCACGCCGAGCATTCCACCCCGAGATACAGCCGAGGGAGCCCCCACCGCTCCCGCTACTAGCCACCTTAGTCGTTTCCTTGGGATTTTTGCTAAGCATGACCCGGCGCAAGGTGGACGAGGAGCAGGTTCGGAAGGCCTGTGCAGCGATAGATGATGGAATGTCGGTTAGGAAGGCTGCTGGGGTCTTTGGGGTAGGTCGTACGTCCATCGAAGACCGCCGCCGTGGCAAGGTGGCCATGAACGCGAAGGTTGGTGCCGAGACCATCCTGAGCAAAGAGGAGGATTCGCTAGAAGATATTCTGCTGTTTGCTGCTCGCAACTTCTTGGCTGTGGGTCGGGTTCACCTCAGAGATGCGGTGCGACGACTCTGCAACGACGGTCGGCGGATCCCTTGGGATCCAGAGAAGGGTCCGGGGAAAGATTGGCTTGCGGGCTTCCGTCGTAGGCACCCACGGGTCGCGGAGCGCTCGACCCGCATCTACGAGGCAAACAGGATCACCGAAGACGAGGAGCCTCGCATGGTGCAGTTCTACGAGAGATGGGCAGCTCTCCTCGACGAGTTCAAACCGGAGGCCAACCACGTGCACAACACGGACGAGACAGGTGAAGATCCGTTCGTAGACGAGTCTAGGTCTAGACTCGTCTAGACTAGTGTAGATAGCCTACAGCAGTAGTAGAAGTGTGGCAGCAGTAGAAACTGCGCGGGTGACTGCTGTGCAAAGACCACGAAACATGTCCCACGAAAAATATCAGGCAGAGTTCTGCCCCCTTGCGGCGTTATTTTGGCCTCCTCATGTACTGCTGTAGTGTAGTCTAAGAGGCCGTGCTCCCGCATTCCTGCTCAAAAATGCCGAAATTGCCGCTGACTCTGGTCTAGAGTAGGCTACAGCAGTAGTTCCAGACACAAAAGTAGAGTACAGCTCTGGTCAGACAATGTACTGCTGTAGACTATGGTAGTCTAAAATTCAATATTTTCAGAGCTGCATCGCATCGTCTTCAGCTGGTAGTTCGAGGGAACCTGCGGCGACGAACGTGTAACTTAGTCTAGGGGGAGCGATGTTGAGTAGATGCATGTGCCAACACATGAAAGAATCTAGACTAGTCTAC